TTATTCGTACCATAATAAAATCCTGAAGAAATGGAAGAAAGCTGACTCTTCACATCTGTTTTCACAAATCACATCGAAAAATATTATTTTGCATAAATTCCAACAGTCTACTAATAACATTTCACTTTTACCAAGACATCTCTCTATCAATATTGCTTTTTTTTCGCACAGCTATCGATACGATTGAAGATGCAAGAAGAGGAGAAACGTGTGCGAGAGTTAAAGATGCTAGAAATGCCACCGCCATCCGTTAATCATTCCCGTATGAGATCGATTTACTTGGACGCCTGGAAACGAAATTACGAGAATTCCATAGGTGCATCAAACTTTCTTTTTCACTAAAACTCTGTACAACTAACTTTTCAAATCTCCGAAGCGTTCACTAAAGACCGATCGTAAACTCGCAGACTCCATGTCCGTCGACACGGTGATGCTGGAGGAAATGTGCATAACGGACGAGAACTCCGTCGAACAGCGTCATCGGTCCTCGGCTCGGGTCAGCAAGAACTGCACTCCAGAGGACGCGATCGATACCGGAAGTCCTCCCCGCAACCAACACCAAGAAATAGGGCACAACGACGGAGCCGTCAAGATGGAGGAAAACATAGAACCGGAAGCGATCGATGGAACGGTCGACGATGAACCGGAGCAGCAAATGGACGTGGAATCGGAGCAAGAAGATGCCGAGGAACCAACGTCCTCGTTGAACATTAGCAAAGATAAGCAAGCATACGAACGTAACGAGGAGGAAGACGATCATCCGGTCGCAAAGAGGATGAAGCTGATGGCCGATGCGGGGAAAGTTCGAGGATCACCGGCGACTACATCGAAAGACACTCGATTGGGTAGTAAGAGGAGTCAGTTGGCCGATCCGTCGCCCGTTCTGCGAATCAAGAAGATCGAAACGGTTCGTTACAGCGTATCGCCGATGAAGAAAGATGTTTGGGCCGAGCCTAATCCCCCTGGCGTGTCTCAATATGGATACCCCGATAAGGGTAATTCGAGTTTTTCCTCGAATAACAATTTACCTGGACCGAAAGTCAGTCAGCTGCCCGATCGATCTCCTGCTCCGAGGATCACCAAGATGGAAAAACTTCCGTACGGCGTGTCCCCGATGAGGAAGATCGACCAGGCCAATCCGAATCCCGCCAGTATGTTCACGCCTGGACATTACGAGTACTCCGACAGTAATTTGAGTTTCTCTGTGGACAACAATCTGAAAGGTACTAAAGGTCCCTTCAGTCTTCGTTGTATTATTAACGATTCTTTATGCCGACAGACGATCAATTGTCACTGTACGACGGATCTGTTCGTGACTTCTGCGAATGCTCCAATTTGTCAACCCCGGTGAGGAACACGGAATCGGATCCAGTGGCTGGGACCAATCAAATGAATCTACCGTCTAACAGAACTCAGAATTTTCCACGTAATTGCGACGTTTCTTTTCCAATGCTTCTCCAAGTATTTATCATTTATCCATTTTATTCTTCCGCAGAATTCGACTTCGCGAATATTCTGAAGGGCAACAAATCACGCAATAATCTCTTCTGAAGGATTTCCATCGAGAGATACTGTTTCCATCCACGATCAATTCCACTAAGACTTTGTCCTGTTTATTTTGGTTGTAAAAAATAAAATCATTGAAACGACGAAAGATATCTTCTTCCCTCGATGAAAATCTTAATTCCTTCAACCGTATTCCAGCGAATAGAGTAATCCCCCAGAGGCGTTTAACACGCGTTCACCGAGCGTTCAGTGTTCCGTTCGAGAGATTCCCGCGTGACGGTGGAGCTAAATAATATTCGAGCGAAATTACGCGTACTCCGTGCGAGCCGCTGTAATTTCCACCAGTCGTAGTCTGCTAAAAAGCATCCGTCGAGCTTGGTCTCTGTTCGCTTCCGCTCTAAGAAACCGGTAGAAGGAAACATGAAAATCTCGCGACATAGGAGGATGAAGGACGGAGAAACGTGCAGAGAGAGAAAGAAAGAGTACTCGACTCGACGACTGAAAGTAGGTCCTTTAAAGCGTCCCCACAGTGAGCCACTTTTTAAAGACCATTGCCACCGACATTTAATCTTCCTGCTTGGAGATGTTTACGGACATCGTCGGGAGAGAGAAATCGTACGCAGTGGTTGCGTGAATACGGACTGATTAGCTTTGAATTGATAAGAGAACATTGGGGGGAGAATTGAACAAGGATTCGTTCAGTTGGCAACTCTGCCCGATAAACTGTCAGACGAATGGGAGAATCGAGGTCGTCCGAGATTGTGGATTTTAGCGGTTTCCCAGGCTGCGCTTTGATATCTCCCAGTTTGCACTCTATTCGCGGCGAAAGTTGTTGAATGGAACCCCCCGAAAGTGGTCTGATATAATTGGGTGAAAGTCGAGAGGCCTGCTCGAGGACACTTCCGCCATCTTGAATCCTTCGCCCGACTCCTAGTTCGCTGCCATATTGGATATCGTATCTCAGTTTGCGTACCCATTGACGTAACTATACGCTCTTCGTTCGAACATTAGAAAGTATTTGTGAAGATAGTGTTACCGAAGATTCGTGAAAAGATTGAAAGCGTCGAGTCTGCTTTAACGATACTATTCCCCTGAATACGAAGGAAAGACGACACTAAGAAGAAGTAGAAGTCCGTAAGGAAGCTCGAAACGAATTTCTTCCGCCTCGTGTTACGTCCCTTTGAGGGAGAAAGTTTTCCGTCCGCGAGAACGTGCAAGGAATACGCCGAGCAATGGATAATATAACTCTTTAATAAAAGTTGATGCACCACCCTTTTTCCTTCTTCTCTCCCCGTTTAATTACTTTAACCGGTATAATTGATATAAATTAACTCCGAGGAGGTTGGAATTCATTCGAGTCGCGGCAAGAATACGAAAGTTTGTTATTGCCTATCGTAACTTTCCCTCCCTGGGGCTAGAGGGGGTGGGGGGTGACTTCTCGTTATGAATGCGGCTTATGAAAGTGGGTGCTGGGCGTTCAACTCGCAAGCACTGTCGATACGTTCCCTCGGCCGGCTTGCCTTCGAACTTCCCTATCCGTCCAGGACAAAAATAAATCGGAGAATTTAATAAGACGAAGTTCAAGGGAGAAACAGAGATGCTCGAGAAAATTCATAATTCTACGGTCTACCCGCCGATGAAAAATGCAAGAGGATTTCGCGAAGACTTCAGAGCGGATACGGGGCTATAATTCCCGAACTTTTGCACCTTTCTCGTTAACATCGCTCAGTTTGCATATACTTTTCAACTTAATTATTCCATAAGACGAGCAGGACTTCTAAGAAATCTTCCAAGTACAAACAAAATTTCCCATTCGTTCGAGAAGCTTGTCCACTTTAATCGCTCAACGGGGGAAAAAAAATATTTATATACCGAGTTCGTCAGCCATCTTGGTCCATCATCCTACTCAAACATTTCCTGGTCCATGTGACAATTTCTTCGTAGACAACTCCCCTCGAATCCTAGATTTCTATCTCGTTCGCGCCAAGGCAGCCTTCGTCCCTGGTTTTATCGACACGTGACCAGAATCCAGACCTTGTTCCCGTGTTCGTGAAGAGGGACACCGGAAGTCGGCGTTCGCCTCGCCTAATACCGGATCGTTTCACGCGGATGCTTTACTCGGGGGGTCCGAGAGTTCATTTAATAAAAACGTCGCAACATTCGAATCAGGTAGCGCGGCGGGTTTTACTGCTACACGTTTCTCGTCCCTCCACCCAGTTGAATTACGATCGCGGTATAAAAACAGGGGAGTTTGGAGGTACTGACTCAGCTCAGAGTTTCTTCCAACCATGAAACGATCCTCTGGCCGAGTTTCGTTCGGTGGTTTAAGAGATTCGACGCGAATCAATTCCCTAGTAAGTGGCCGAAGTTAGACCACTGCTCGGGCATAAGTTCGCCTAGTTCTTGCCTTTCTGTATTAGTGTAAAAAATTCTGAATTTGCATAATTATCTGCAGTGCACCAACGATAGTAGAAAAGAAAATTTCATTGAAAAAACAACAGTAACGTGGTCACCGTTGATCCCCTACCTAACACGATTAGGCCAGGTTTCCGTTTACCGAACGGCGGCTCTTTAATCGCAGAACGTGCAGCGTGTAACACGCCATAATTAACAAAAGTTACGAGGCTCGTTTATACAGACGCCTAGGGGGGTTGGAAATGCGTGTGTATACGAGGGCGTCGCGGCTAAACGCCGCGCAGATTTATTCGCGGTCGTGACTACGTTCGTTCCCTTGTATATTTCTTCGCGATAACGATGATTTATCGCCGCCTCCCCACCGACCTCGAGCACCTCCCGTATTCTTACCGCCGCCATTAAAATGATTATTTCACGAAACGTCGGATAAATTACCGGGCCATGGTCTCGTTCACGTTGATCGGTGAGATGGGGGCTTTATTGCGAAATAATTATGGTCCCCGGGACACGGACTGCTTTACGACTTCGATAAATTATTCTGCGTTTATCGAGCTCCTTATCGTTTCCTGCGAAACACTTGCTATTGTTACCATCGTCGGACGATGGTCGAAACTGGTCAACAATGATTTCTGGTTGAATTAGAGCGAAATGCTCTTGCATTAACTGGAGCTATGTTTGTGTTTGTTTTATGTAAATAAATATTTATATTAAATAAATAAATAGAATGGATTTATGAAACTTGGAATGATGGTGGAAAGTTCTTTTCGTCGAGATAAGGTTTATGTACTATTTGTAGAAGATAAACGATGAAAAATTAAAAAATGGATTACGACGTGGAAAAGGGAATTTTCTCGTAACTCTGTCCGAGTGATGGCTTTCTGTCCCTTCGGTGTTTTCTTTATGAAAGTTTTCACCCTTACCATCTAATCCGGAAGTCGCGTCGTTACATTTTTCCGTCAACGTTTTCCGAATAAACAGGCAAATAATTTTCCGAAGACGAACTCTTCGTCGGAAGTCGATCGAAACTGCGAACTGTTCCGTGGACAGAATTATCGTACAATGGAGACGTTTCTACTCACGTGAACACTGACGTGGTTCGTCGGTCCCGTCGCCGCAGTCGTCGATGACATTGCACACCTTGTTCAGGGCGACGCAGCGACCGTTGCCGCACTGGAACTCGCTCTGCCGACAGGAAAGCACCGTCGTCGCCATGAGAACGCAGACGAATACCGGCCAATGCGTGTCTGAAACAAGACACGAGGACTAGTTAGGTTAAAAGCGTGTTAACGCGTCTTTGGTGAGCGTCGAACCGACACGACTGGAATTGTCTATACCGCAATATAACCAGAATGTTTATAATAAAATGATCTTGGATACCCTAATCTATATTGGGAGATTTAATAATAGGTTCAATGTGTAACAGCCTCTTATTTACAGTGGAGTTACGTTTTTTTCTTTCGTGACAATTCTCACCGAATAAATCTGTAACGAACGATATTTCCATCGGGGTAGAAAAGAACTGTTTTCCCCGTTTTTCGGCAGTTCCCCGAAAAAATTCTCCGATGTTTGCGCACAACATCGGAGGACGGGTATTCAAATCATCGTCGAACGATCCGCGCGCGAACGCAGAAGCATTATTTACGTACAGTTCGGGAAGTTCGTCTGTCCCCGGAAGCAAACAACGCATTCGTCTTCATAGTTTCGCGAGAAAACGCGGAAAAATTTATCATTCGCGTGTGTGCAGTTCTCTCCTTCGAATATCTTCGCCGGAATCGCGGATTGATTCAAACCCCCTCCACCCCTGTTTGTAGTATTCGCCCGTTCCAGCCGGGTTGAAGAATAAGATAAACGGTTTCGTCCTTTGATTGATGGCGAAATGGATTCCCCCGACGATTTATCTCGTAGGAATTTCCGTGGAATTCCTGGTCGAAAGGAAATCGCCTTCGAAATTAACGGGGGACGATGCTCTATCGCATTGCAGATCTTATAGCGAACAATTCTTCCACCAAGTCCAGTAATCTAATAAATATTCTTGTAACAAGCATCTTGTAGTATCCTAAAACTTAAGCAGAATTGGATCGAGACCTTTGTGGAGCAGCCACCAGTGTGTGTCTTCGAGCAACACTATTCAGGATCAAAAATTTCCGATCAATTTCACTGAAAGTTTTCAGGAAAAGCCGAAGGCGAGAAAAGAAACACAAGGAAACAGGATCCGAAGAATTGTGTGTTTCGTGAAATTAAAAGAGAAGAAGAAAGGTCCGGCAGGAGCCCAGAATAATCGATAAGGAACGGATATCGAGGCACGTCCTCTCGATTTCCGGCATCGTCTGAAAGCGTCGTCGACGTCGTTCGATCGACGAAGTCCAGATACCACCCCCAGGAGCTTCTGACGTTATCCACAGAAGCTCTCGTCTCTCCTCTGACTTTCGGACTCTCCTTCTTCGGTCACGTATCTGGTTTCCACGATCCCTCGACGTATACGGGATCCCTTCAAATTAATTCCCCAGACAGCTCGTTACCCTTTCGATTTGAAATCCAGGTCACACGTGTGTTAGAAGTTTGCTACATACGACCTGACCTAACTATTAATAACTATTCAATTAGATCGTAAAACCCATCGTACCATTTTGTATACAAGGTGTACCAAAAAGATGAGTACCCCAGATTAACTCGGAAGGATGAAGTTTTAGCAATGAATGTTCGATACAAACGGTTCAGGGTTTAAAAAGGGGCATCTAGATGGTGACCTTGATCATTAGGGGACAACTTTAGAAGTCATTCCGAGGTCAATTCGATTTTCTTTAATGGGAACTCCTACTTTTTTACTAGATTTGACATTTCGATCTAAAGATGTGACCAAACCCAGACCTCTGAAATTACTTCTAAATTTACATCCATTGTCATGATCAAGGTCACAATCTGGAGTACTCATTTTTTCGGTTCACCCTGTACATTTGGTTTCCCCGAAGATAGAAAGGTTTGCAAAAGTCGATTGCACCACTAAATCCGAAATGTTCCTCCAACATCGGCCGCCAATAAACTTTATCGCCCGGCTGTATACCTTCTTCAGCGACGTTCCAACGATCTATAGACGACACCGGATCTTTCATGACTGGTTTTTAAATCCATGGGATATTAGGGACTGCGCGAACTCGTCGAAACAAACTCGCTGGATATTTAACTTCTGATCCTGGAAAAGGGACGTAAGGGACAGCCGCTTCGTCGGGATTTCCAGGCTTTCCGCTGACGAAATTTTAATGCAAAGTCCCTCGTAAGTAGCTGAAACGTCGGGGTGGAGGATCGAAAAGAAAGGCGTTCTTCCGCGTTCCCTGGACGCGTCCCTCGCCGCTTAAAACTTATCCGCTCGCGGAAGAATAGCGACGTGAAGAAAAGTAGAATCGCATTTCTGTTCCTTTTCCATCTCGTTTTTACACTCTCAGACTCGATGTAATTTCACTTCTTCCGCGTGCTATGAGTAAGCAGAATTCGACGAAACTTTAATCGTTTCTTCAGCAAAAAAAGAAAATCGCGGAAATATTGCAAGATTATGAGAAGTTCCACAATACAAGGGTGGGCAAATTTATGAGAAGTTTAAGAATTTCAGATAATAAATGCACAGTAGTCTTAATCACCGAAGCAGAGTCAATAATAGAATGGAGCAGAAATTTCGAGACACTTTTTACCGACCAAATACGATAATAAAATCCTCATTAACAACTCTTTTGACAGAGACCATTTAAATGCTAAACATGTAAAGTTAGATTATTAATATAAAAGTTTAGGAAAAAGGATAACGAACCCCCAATATTGTCTCAGAAGCCATAGTATCGTCCACCGTTGTACTATAATTTAGTTTCACTCGCGAAACGTATATTCTTTCTTTCCCAGAAATACAGTCGAATCTAGATGAAAATGGTGTGGGTTCAATTTTCGGTAAGAATACGTCCCGTGAAGTGTGAAATTCCAAGGTTGTCGAAGAATTCCGGCCGAATTCTCACCGATCCTTGGATAAATGGAACTCGGAGTGAACGGAGACTGACTTCGGTCTCCGCGTTTTTCCGTCGGATCCGCCGCGGGAACGTGAAATTTCTTTCCAAGCACCGCTAGACAGCCACTCGTAGGCAAACGAGAGGAACCGAGAGGCGAGCAGAGTGAAAAAAAAAGAGAAAGGAAACGAGGGTGGTGGACGGAAGGGCGAGAGGGATGAAAATCGAGAATTCAGAGGCCAATTACTCGGTCCACTCGATGTGCACGCGGAAAATTAAACGGTTTGAGGGCACTGGAAATAAATACTTCGCGCCACCTACTCTCCCCTCGAGGACGCCAGGTGGAAAACAAAAAAAAAAATCGAGAAAAGGGAAATACTATTTCCAACGAGTTTGCTGCTCTTTCTCCTTGTCGCTGGAATTCAATCACTGGTACAACTCGACGCCATTGCTGAACGATATGACATTTTTATTCGAGAATTCTCTTTCGAACGTGTGACACGCGGACTATCCTGGACGGAATTCAATGGGGGATGACACCGAGCCTTGAAGTGGTTCGTTATTCCATGTATGGAGTTAATCCTGTGCACTTTAACGGCGAGTCTCACTCACCGCATTATTCTTTACACTAAAGAATGTTGAGGTCAAATGAATGTTTAAAAATGTTATTTTCAATTTAAGTACATATACTCTTTTTTCTATTTTTTATTTAAAAATATCACGGAGTTCGTGTTTTCCTATAGGAAAGAAGTTTGGAGTGCAAAGTGTTACTTGTAGTCTAACTACTGTTAAGATGAAATATTCACGAGAATGGTTGCTCAGACGAGCCCCACGAGTAATAAGACGATATAAGACGAGGGTTGCTTACTCGAGGCGATTAGTAATTTATACGCGGAGCACATCTGATGCCAAAGTACGTCTTCTCCTTTATCCCATTTACCCACGGTTTATTCATCCGGGATATATTGAGGGACCACGCTCGAAAATGATAATCCGACGAAAGTGGCTGAAATCCGGGGTCTCGAGAGAGAGAAAAAAAGGGGAAGTTGAATACGTCGCCAGGAAACGCGAGAGTCAGCGTTCGCTGAACGAGATTTACGGAAGTAATCCGTTTTGCACCGGTTACCTGTTACGACGAACATGGGGACCCGATCGAGCCATGATACCTCAATAACGAGTAAAGAGTGACAGGGTAATCCCTGCTGCAATTCTCGCAAACAATCGACCGACCGAAGATCTCGATTCCCCCTAATTTCCCAGCTTTCATCACACGTCCTTCTCGCGGAATCGTTTTGAAAAATATCGTAACAATTTCAAGACTAGATGAGATTTTTTATTGAATTGTATATCGCGTAATCGGCACGACAGTTGTTTCTTTTCGTGGTGCGATGCAAAAGATGAGATTTTATTTTTTAGTACAGAAATGTTCATATTATTAAATCAAAAATTTTTTAACAATGAATAATCCAGCTTCTTTGCAACGTACGTGTCATCGATATTTGAATGACGTGGCAGTCGAAGTATTAAAGGAAGAGTTCGAAAAGGTGGAAGACTTTCATGGATTATTACGGGGCTCTTATCAATTACTACTAAACTCCCAAGGAAATATACCGAACCGCACGAAACGCGATTCCTCGTCGTGCTAAAAAATTCATGCAGGGGTTTCGTTCCAAACGGTTACCAGCGGGAAGACGGTCGATTAGGGAAAGCGGTCGATAAAATTTTCAGTTTTCCCGGGTCACGTGATTCGATTACACAGGATCCCGTGACGGGCAAAGCGTGGGAGGAATCAGCGACGTCTGCCTGGGAACAATCCTCACGGGAACCGCATGGCGCGCTTCTATTACCCCGTTTATTTCTCGCCTTACCGTTGTCTACGCTGAAATTTCAGTTTTATTTAATGCTTCGCCACGGATGGTTACGCGGATCCGGTGGGAAATTTAATATTCTCTTCTGCCCCCACCGTCAACTAGGACAGGATTATTTCAATAAGAAATCATCGAGATATTAATATTACTCACGGTGAACGGAAGTGGTAACCGATGGCAACTGGTCCTGCCGTTGAACTTTCCGAACGAAATCAAATTATGGACTCGTTACGTTGCTTTAAATTTTCTAATTAACGTAACTCTGGACTACACGAAATTGTATCGGATGTACCAGGAAGTACTCCACTATATTTCTTAAAAAATAGTACTCATCTTCGAGGAAATACATATATCAGAAGCCTACGGCAGCCTCAGTGATATTTGCCCTCGTCCTTCGATATTCGCCGCCATTTCGAAAGGAGAAAAGGTTATAAAGATATTTTATACGTGAACTGTGTTACCAATCTATAGAAAAGAAATACAGTAAATCCTAGATGAATATTTGACGACTCCTCGGCACTGACATTTACTTGCCTTTTTTTGGAACGCTTATCTAATAATTCCCACACGTTAAATATTTCTAACGTCGCGAGCAGGTATCATCATATCCGCCAAACGATTCTTTCATCCGCACCATTAATCGGAGGCTCACGGACACGGCCAATCCTTTTGTTGTACGGCCAGAAAGTTAGCCATAGAATCTGGCACGAGATAGCGTGGCTTAACCGGGGAATAAACTCGGTGGTGGGGGTGGCCGTGTCGGTGCGCTCTAGAGTATGGAAAATTGGCAGGCTTCCACGGATCGCGGCCCTCGGCTCGTAGGATACTACCGCGCTCGGTTCTCCTCCGGGTATATATCGATTCATATCGGGTTAACACCCGGCCGCGATAAATCCGCCGGCCTCGGTTATTACCGTGCGCCCGGTAATAAGTCACGAGGCGCGAAATGGTAATAAACGTTGTCACCTGGTCGCGCTCGCGCGAACCCCCGTTCCCCTTTCGAAACGACGAGCCAGCGTTTCTCTGGTTATTACCGCGATATTTTCATCGTGTTCTCCGTTCTCCTCGTCAACCTGGAAAATGGAAGTGTTTCACGCAACGACCTTTCGTTTTTCCCGTTGGGGACAGGTGTATCTACCCCTGATTGGATATATGACCAAGTGAACGAGTGTTCTCGGTTTCGGGACGTAGCGATAGAATCTCAATGGATTGATAGGAAGGGAGATTCTAATTGGGCGTTGCTTCTAGCCCATCTTTGATCCCGTTGAAATGAACAAGCAAACCGATTTCGAACCTTTCGATCTAGATCGAAAACGATTCGTATCGTTTCGAAACGAGGAAAGATCGTTAGGTCGCCAACTTCGGTGTAACTTCCGGTCGACCAACGATCGAGCTGTTTCGAAATTCGATAACAATCGAGCCCATAGCGGTAACGATGAACGATCCTCCTGAAAACGATCGCGAGTAATTATCCAGGTTCACCCCAGACCGACCAACGATCGTGCGTCGATTAAAGATAACCATCGGGAGACTAATTTGTCCACGAGCAAATAGGATTCGAACCGTGGGGCAGACCACGTGACTCGAAGACCTCGGCCGAGTGATCTGGAACGTTTCCAAGGAACGAATACCCGGATTCTTCTGTTTCTTTTGTCGTGACCTTCGATCGGCTGTTCGAGAGCGAGTTAATTGGGCCATTCTCGATACGATTCGTCGTAAAAAAAAAAGAGAAAGAAAACTAAATGGACATGAAAACGTCACGTCGATTCGATCGATCGGTATCGGGGGAGTCTTCTGCTCCCGTCTGTTTCCCTTTTCATCGCTGTGCTGTTTCGATTCTTTCATCGAGCTTCGAGGGGAAGCTCGACCGGTAGACTCGTGGAATTTCCACGGACACAAGAGCACTTAACGGGGCATCGTCGATTCTCAGACGCTTCTTCCTTCCCTCCCTCCTTGCCCCCTCTGAACGGGGTTGATCAATATCCGCGGAAAGAAATAGGTCGTTCTTATTTCCGGTCCCCGGTGATTCCATTTCAAGTTCCGTGCCGAGGCGGTCGAGCACTCCGTTCTCCGGCCTCTCCCTATACGTTTACAGAACTAAAGAAGCTTTTCCAAAGCCTTATTTTGATAAATAAACTCTCGCTAAGTAGCTCGAGTAATCTTATTTAAAGAGAGGTAGCCCCGTTTCGATGTTCGATCACTGTCTCTCATGCATTCTACAGATTGTTCCGACACCACGATAAATACACGGACAAA